ATTTATTTATTATTTTTTGTATATATAAACCCAACACAGTGGCTGGGGATTTTGCTCAGTGGTTCCTCAGAAGCACAAGGTCCTGAGTTCGATCCCCAGTACCAAACAAATAAACAAACAAAAACCAAAACCAAAAACAAAAGCCCAACACATTCTCAGGAAGCTGCTCTTCATGAATTGGGGTGAGTCAGGCACTCCCCCCGTCCTAGGCTCATCTGCCTCTGGGTAGGTACAGGTGGGAGCCTTGGGGTTCCTGGTGGAGGAGTCTGAAGATCTAGTGATGTCCACAGCCCTCGGTGGGCCCAGACCTGTGCCCAGCAGCACCCTGGAGGAAGCTGAAGGGATTCTATCCCTCAGAGCAGCTGGTCCTGTGGGCAAGGCACCCACACCAGGGAACAAGGCCAAAGGGCCGAGAGGCCAGTGCCCACACTGCTAAGGGCATGCCGTGACTCTGGACAAGCAGCTGCCCCTCTCTGAGCCCTGTTTTCCTGTAAACCATGGAGTGGGGTTGGGCTGGGTGGGGGTCTTTGCTGTAAGGGCTGGGGTGGGTAGCTTCCGAGATGCATCAAAACGGTTCATGCATGAGCATGACTGGCAGCCTGTTAAACACAGGCCAGAGCCGTCCAGGCGTGGGCAGGCACTGAATGGGAAGAAGGAACGGTTAACAGGACAGGCACTGTCCCTAGCCAGAACTCCCCATGCTGCTTTCAGAGTGCGGCAACCCACATCTGGGCCTAATGTGCTCCATTTACTGCCCAGTAGGCGGGGCTTCCTGGAAGGGCTTTCCCATGAACCAGTGGGGAAGCTTTGGAGAGGCAGGAGACCCTGCCATGGGGACAGGTACAGAATTCTGGGAGGCTCAGAGAGCTGCCTCTCTCTGGTCTGGAAAGGCCCGCAGATGCTGGGGACACAGGAGCACTGTGGCCTGTGTCCACCGAGTGAGCTGAGGTGGGTCCCGCTTCTCTCTGAGCCTGTTTCCTCACCTGGGAAGTGGGGACATCTGACTCATGGTGCTGCTGGGAGACTCAGGACAGCAAGGTCAAATCCCCCAAGGGCGTTTCTAGAGATCAGAGCTCTGCCCTGACGTGACAGTGTCATCTCCTAAGCAGAGTGGAAATGGTGGTGGGGGGAACCCCAACAGCAGAGAGGATCCAGGCACCACTCCGTCCACATGAGCACCGCTCCTTCTAGGACTGCTTTCCCCAATTCAGGACTGGTGAGGACACAGTGTGACCCACCTTGCACCTGGAGGAGAGGTGTGGGAGCTGGGGGAGAGGCACGAGGAGAGGGAGGCCAGGCTCAACCTCACCCCATTCTCACTGCCCACCCTGCCCTGGTGCTGCCCAGCCCAGGCTGCCAGGTGGGTGACTGGAGAGGGAGGCAGAAGCCTCTGGGGTCCTGGTCCCAGCCAGAAGGCGTGGTTCCTGAGTAGCTGTGCCCAAGGTCTGTGTGCAAGTGCATCTGCACACCCTAGCTTGGTCTGGGGGCTCTTTCCAACCCCACAGCCCTCTAGGCAGCACGCCTAGTTCCCAGTACCCATAGCTGCTAGGTCCTCACTTCCCCTTCCCACAGGGCCGGCCACCTGGTGGGGGCCCCTGGGTGGCTGCAGCACTGAAAGCCCTGCTTGTCCTCCAGCTGTGGAGTTGGGCGTAGTCAGTTATCCTTGGCCTAGGACAGTTTCTTGAGAGCCTGGGTGGGCTGGGCCATGGGTCTGGCCCCCGTCCTGCCGGAAGCCTGGGGTAGCAAGGGGCACATACCCAAGGCTCCCAGGGTGTCCCCAAGGGTGTCCTCAGCACTGCTGATCCCCTGAACCCCCCTCCAGGCAGCAGGGTCTGCCCTGGTTCAGCTTCCTGACCTGGTGCCCTGTACCTTGCTAGGACTCCCCTTCAGCTCAGCCCCATCTGGGTGGCACGGAACTCCTTGCCAGGCCCCTGATGTGGGTCTTGCCTCAGCCCCACATGGTCTGCTTTTCAGTCAGTCAGGTTTAGAGAAAAACGGCTCAGTCAGCCAGACCAGAGGTGTAGGGACTGTTGTCCCCGAATACACTATGCTCATTCTGACCTTTTCCCCCCTCTTCTCTTTTCTTTTCTCTTTTTTCCTTTCTTGAACAGGCGCTTACTGTTTCCCAGGCCGGCCTGTTATTTCTGTGCTGATGCAATCGATCCTCCTGCCTCAGTCTCCCAAGCACCTGAGACTACAACTGTGCCACATCTCAGCTCACATCCATCCTGTCCCTGTGACTGTCCCTTTGTGGGGGCTGCGTGTTACTGGGTACTGCATTTTTCATCCACGTGTCATAAAAGGGAGGGCTCTGTGTGGGCACTGGGGTTCCCTGTGGGACTTAGCACACCCAACTCCCTCCTGGGAAACTCAGTTTCCCTATTCATATAGCTGGGAGGTTGGCCTGCATGGTTCCCAAGGTGCTGGTTGTGCTGGCCCACGACTGAGGTACTCTGGCATGGGAGTCTCCTGGGCATCTTGCTCAGGGACCAGGGGATCTGAAGACCTGGGGGCTGAGGGTGTCCAGGCCAAGTAAGACCAAGCTATCCTCAGGGTGGGCTGCTCCTGAGGCAGAGATGGCGACTGGGGGTTGCACCAGGTGTGGTGACAGAGATGAGCTCGTCTGGCTGGTACATGGGAGAATGCCAGCCCTTTTACCCTCCCCATTTCCAAATCCTTCTAAGGTCAGCGTTGGCTTTATGCTCTAAACCTCACAGGAACTGTGCTGAGCTCCTGCCCTAAGACTGCTGTGGGATCTCCACTGCCAGCCGGCACATCCTGCCATTTAAGGTCCTAGTGCCCCAGCCCAAGGCTCTCCCCAGTCTATGCTAGGAATATCTTCCAATCTAAGCACCCTCTGCTTGCCTACACGTCCCCCCCCCGCCCATGCCTATTGCTGCTCTGGTACCAAATCCTGTCCTATCCGCCACATTTTGGCTCAAGGGACACCCTTGGTCCACCCCAGGTTGCTCCTGATTTCAGATCTTTGCAGGAATCACTGTTGGAGTTTTATTTGCTTTTCTGCTTCCAGAATAAGTCCAAACACAGCCTATCCACTCCCTGGGACTCTCCTTGCATAGCACAGTGTCTATGAGATAGGGTTGCCAGGGAAGTGTTTGAGGGATTCCCCTCGGCAGGAGGCTGATGCTGGACAAATTCTGACCATCTCCATCTCCTTGGACACCCCTTCCCTATCTCCCTTCCCTATCTCTAGGCCCCAAGACCTGACAGCAGGGATGGGGAGCTGGATACCCAGCCCTGACTCATCCCTTCCTGGGCACCCCATGATGCCCTCCTTTGGAGCTGGCTTCCCTCTCTGATGGGAGCAGGGTGTGGCCTGGGCCCCTGGCAGGGAGGCTCAGGCCCTTCCTCTTGGGAATGGTCCCAAGGACCAGGCTGAAGCCCTGATTCACGCAGGGCAGGAATGACAGACAGGCCTTCTGCCACAGATCCATGACTAGACCGTGCCTGCCTCTCCAAAGGAAGAACGCTGTAATGCTGGGATTCCTGGCACCTTGACAGAGAGGCCCAGCACCTCTCTGAGGGCAAACTTTCATTCAGTCTCTGTTGGGGTTGGGCTCTAGGGCTGAGGATAGGGAGTCATGGCGGGGGTGGCTTGGGCTCTCTGAGGGGTAAAGGGTACCTGAGGGGCCCCAGCCCTGCTGCAGGGAGGCTGAAGATTGAGCAGTCCTGTATGTCACCAACCTGGTCTCCTGGGCAGGAGGAGGCAGGAAGCAAGCAAGGCCCTCTGGAAACACAGTAGGGGAGCAGAGAGTGCTGGGGACAGAGGGTGTGGGAGGTGGATGCCCAGGTGTAACTAGAACACTTGGGTGGGGCAGGGTGACTCCCTGTGCAACCCCTCCTCACAGTGCCCCCATTTGTGGCTGGCAGCCACTTCTCACTGTTGCTGGGTGCCCTTTCACCCCAAGCCTGCCTGGCAAACAGCCCGAGCCCCCCCCCAGGGTGCCCAGCGGGTGGGTGTCTAGGATATCTGGAGGGCAGAGCCACGCCCCAGGGTGCTGACTCCTAGGCCCCATCACCCAGGCTGGACACCCCATAACCAGTACCGTGCAATCCCAGATTCAGAGCCTCTGAGAGTTCCATCCTGCTCACCCGAGGGAGGATCCTGGAGACCCCTCCGGAGGCAGGGGACGCATAGCTCCCTCAGTCCCCATATGGGTGACCCCCTGCGCCATTCTCTCCATCTGGGAATCATTCAGAGCTCCCCCAGGCCGGGTCGGGGTCTCAGGCCTTCACTCACCTGCAGATGCGGGTCCAGCCAGCAGCGCCCAAGTGAGAATCAGGGCCAGGGCGGGCGCGGAGCCCGGGGACATCGGGCAGGGACGCATCGCGGCAGCGCGGGGACTTGGGACGGACGGGAAAGCAGACATGGGGCAGGGAGCGCGCTCTGGGCCGGGCGCGCACTGAGCTGGGGGGGGGAGGCGAGGACCGGGGTTAGCGCTGCGGGGGCGGGGGCAGCGCGGC